GGCGTTTACGGTTTTCTCCATCATAGGGTCGTTAAGGGCGGGCCTCAACCCTACAACTGAGACCCAAGGCTGAAACACCTCTACATTCTGAATGCCGCTGCACCTCTGACTGAACCGCTAAAACCCGAAACCCTAAACCGCCCAAACCCTAAACCCTAAACCGCCCAAACCCTAAACCCTAAACCCTAAACCCTAAACCCTAAACCCTAAACTCTAAACCCTAAACCCTTAACCCTAAACCCTGAACCCTGAACCCTGAACCCTGAACCCTGAACCCTGAGCCCCAAACCCCAAGCCCTAAACCCCAAACCCTTAACCCTGAACTCGAAACCCTAAAGCTCCGAAACCGGAACCTCCACGCCGCAGAGGCGCACGAGAATCGGCAGCTCGCCCTGACAGGCTCTGGGCTTTCTGCGTGGTATGAGGGGCTTTAGCTCTATTTTTTCTTTATTCTTATGTTCGTTAAACCCTAAACCCTAAACCCTAAACCCTCAACCCTAAGCCCTAAGCCCTAAGCCCTAAGCCCTAAGCCCTAAGCCCTAAACCCTAAACCCTAAACCCTAAACCCTAAACCCTAAACCCTAAACCCTAAACCCTAAAAACCCTAAACTTTTTTTTTTTTTTTTGGGGGGGGGGGGTAAAGGAGTGTAGGGCATCGGGTTTGGAGATGTTATGCTTTTTTTGGGGGGGCCTCACAACTTAACACGTGACCAAGACCCCATAAACCTGGAAAGTCCCAAATCCCAAGCCCCCAACCCCCAAACCCGCGCTCAACCCTAAACCCTAAACCCTAAACCCTGAAGGCGCCTCGTGTTCTGCATTCCTCTTGGGTCAATCAAGACCTCCATGTCACATTATTTTGACTGGTCCTAAAGAAGCACACCCTAAAATCCTGAAGCCCTAAACCTTAAACCCGACGCTGTCAGTCGCAGGCCTTGGTTCAATCGGCCTCATCTTCGCTCTGATAAGGCCAGGGGCTCATGGGTTCAGGTTGAGGGCTTGAGGCTCAGAGGTGATGATCTTTCAACCGAAGCGAACCTCGAAACCCCAGAAGTTCTCTGCACCTTTTTCATCTTCAACGCAAGGCTTCGGGAGCTTTTAGGGGTTGGGGCCCGAGAGGAGTCGAGACCCGGGACTTGGGAGGATTCCGAGACTGAGGGCTTGGATGTCGGGCTTGAGTTTTCGTTAAGCCAAATTTCAAGCCAAAATTGATACAAGGAGGTTCAGAAGCAGCTGCCGGGCATTCATCATGGGGCTACAAGCAGCGCGGCTGTACTTACAGCCTTCCTGAAGGTACTTACGACCCTACTTCCACTTACCCACGAAGCTCCAGGTAGCGGTTCTTGGCTTCCAAACCTCGCAGGCGAGATCTGGCCTTCTTCCGCTGAAGGCGAGGGGGCGGCCCCTGCTACGTCGGCAGTTTCTGTGCCCCAGCCTCGACTCCGGACCTTCCTAGGGTTTAGGGGCCCTAAACCCTGATCTCGGATTACTTGGAGGCTCATGGGGGTACTTATAAGTAGGGTTCTAGTGTGCTTTAGGTACGGAAGTCCTGCTTACAGCCCTACTTCTAGCTCCCCATGAACCTCTAAGTAAACCCGAACCCTTGACCCGGACACTTTGTCTGCGCTTCATGGCGGATAGGTTTGACCCCCCCCCCCCCCCATGTTTTCAGAGGCGTAGGCCCAGGGTTGGTGCGCGGGTGGCCTGCCGCGGTCTCCCTGTACATAGAGCCGCCACGGCACCAGCGTGCCGTGCCTTGCCTTCTGTGGCCATTGCCTCCCCTTATTTTTGCTGCAGCGGATGTGGATCCCTGATCAACCAGCATGTAGAGCCCTGAAACCCTAAACCGTAGCCCGGAAGCCGTTTCGAATCTGAAAGTCTGTGAAGACCAAAGCTTGTGGACACGTTGCCTCATCTCAACAAGATGCAAGAGTGGGCCTTTTAATTTGTGGTGAGCGGGTGAGCGGTGAGCTTGGTGGGCGAGTGGCGTGGGCCACTTCTGACCAAGCCTTTCAGAAAGCCGAGCTGCAGCGATTGGAGAACAGGGCTTATGGTTGTTAACTAGAGGAACCACGAACACGCTGCGAGCAGGTCATGTTACGACACTGTGCCGCGGAACGACATCGCAATAGGCATATGGTTTGAGATGATTAGTCAGGCTAAGCCCTAAACCCTAAACTTAAACCCTACACCCTTGTAGCTTGACAAGATACTTTTTGCACAATGGGCTCCTTGCAAAAGGCCCACAAGGGGGACCCTAGCACCCGCGCTTCTGCCCATAAAGATATTCAGCGCACAGCGAGCAAGCCCTACGCCCCTCAACCTCTACAGCCCCAAACCCTAAACCCTAAACCCTAAACCCCAAACCCTAAACCCTAAACCCCAAACCCTAAACCCTAAACCCTAAACTTCCACACCTCCAAACCCCCCCAAAGCCCTTACTCCCCAAAGCCGAAGCTTCATCGGATCCCTAGGACCCCTCGACCCTTCTCGATGTTCGCAATTGCCTATATCCCCCTTGGGAACTATTTTTGTTTCTATAAAGCCCAAGAGGACTTGCAAAAAATATCCCCCTTGGGAACTATTTTTGTTTTTATAAAGCCCAAGAGGACTTTAAAAATTATCATTTTTATTAAGGTTCTGAGGGGAGTATAGTTGCAAGGCTGTGCGCTCGCAGGCTTTCTGAAGATCGTCGAAATGGGGGTCGTTCCAGGCAAAGGTCCATCCTTTTGGAGGGGTCCTTTTTGTTGCAGACGCTTGGGCAGACGAGTTGACAATTAAGGGGCACAAGAACAAGAGGATCACCGCCTGGAACACTCCCCAAGTGCCTGCTAAATCTTTGCCGCAGCTTTGGCTGCGAGCCGCATGCCTGTCAAGCTGAAGGCAAGCTGCGTTATGACGCATGAGCGTGTCTCAAAAGTCAGGGCCACTCCCTAAACCCTAAACCCTAAAACCCCAAACCCCAAACCCTAAGCCCTAAACCGCATGCATTCCCAAACCCTTAAAACCCTAGACCCCTCCAAGTGGACCTTTCCTTGAGAAATGCTCCTGCTCGAGGGAAAGCGAGTCGCACCCCGAAGGGCCTGCAACCACTCCAAGTCCAAGCTCAACCCTTGGGTTATGGGTTTTGGGTTTAGGGATTAGGGCCTTTAGGGTTTAGGGTTTAGGGTTTAGGGTTTCGGGTTTAGGAACCCTAATCTGCAAACCCCAAAAACCGTAAACTCTTGCCCTCAAGCCCTCGCAAAATGAAGCCCCGCTGCCGAAGCCCGCAGCCACAAACCTTAGACCCTAAAAGTCGAAACCCCAGACCCTAAACACCTTAAACCCTAAAACCCTAAAACCCTAAACCCTAAACTCTACAAATTCAACCCTAAAGCCCTAAACCCCAAACCCTCAACCCTAAAACCCCAAAGCCCTAAATCCCCAAACCAAACAGCGTCGGGGGCCCTTCGGAGTCCACCCTCTGAGTCCTCCCGCTGCCTGGAGCGGCGTGGCCCACGACACCGGGCGCGGCCTGTTTAGGGTTCTAGGGTTTTAGGGTTTTAGGGTTTTAGGGTTTTAGGGTTTTAGGGTTTTAGGGTTTTAGGGTTTTAAGGTTTTAGGGTTCTAGGGTTCTAGGGTTCTAGGGTTCTAGGGTTTTAGGGTTTTTAGGGGTTTTAGGGTTTTAGGGTTTTAGGGTTTTAGGGTTTGGGGTTTAGGTTTTGGGGGTCGGGAGGCCGGGAGGTTTAGGGTCTAGGGCTTAGCCGTCGGAACCATTACTTGGAGGTCCGTGGGTATCTATAAGTAGGGTAGCTATATTCATAACCTTACTTAGGGTACATACTTATAACCCTACTTATCACTACCCATGAACCCCCAAGTATGGTCCCTCATAACCCACCAACACTCGATTCTAGTTTTCGGGAACCCCAACCCTAAGCTTGTTCGTGTCAGAGCCAGCCGTGCAAACCCAAACCCTAAACCCTAAACCCTAAACCCTAAACCCTAAACCCTAAACCCTAAACCCTAAACCCTAAACCCTAAACCCTAAACCCTATACCCTAAAGCCTAAACCCTAAATGAAGCCTTTGGCGCCCTGAGCTCGCTTCCCTTAGAAGGAGCCTAAGTGGTCTGGGCGACGCTCCGCCTCTCCGCTTGCAGAGCGCACCGCGCCAATAGACGACCCAGCAGCTGGGGGCGCCAAAACGCGTCGGAGGGTTTAGGGTTTAGGGTTTCGGGTTTAGGGTTTCGGGTTTAGGGTTTAGGGTTTAGGGTTTAGGGAGTGTCGGGCTTAGGGGGGGTGTGTTGGTGGTGTGCACCAACCTTCGCGCTCTTTCCCCACCCGCCCAACTTATGACCTTCGGGTGGGGTTCAGGGTCCTTGCTCATACGGATTCATACGTTTTAGCTTTGAGACTTGAGGGCCCTTGGTAGAATTTGCGGGTCGGTCTGCCATGAAGAAGTTCTGGACTTTACAGGCGTGCTCTTGGCTACATGCTTTGGTCTTTTGAAGGCCCGCCCTTAACCCACAGTCTCCTTGAAGGAAGTATGGAGAACTTCGACCCCTCAATCCGAAACCTTGAGTTTTAAGCGTTGTCCGGGGACACCAACAACCCGAAGCTGTCTGGCTCTTCCTCAGCACCCTGTCAACCCGAGACACTTCAGGTGTTTTGCATGTGCAATTGCGGGCTGATCTTTTGCTTCCCTCACATCGCGCCCGCGACTTTTTCAGAAACGGGGTCTTTGGTGCACACAATTCCCCAAGAAGTCCCTAGTTACCCTTCAGACTGAGGAGCAGACTCTCCTTCATAATCAAGAGCCCTACTTGGAGGTTCATGTGTAGTTCCAAATAGGGTTATAAGGCGGGTAGCTAGAACTATAAACCTGTCATTTTTTTTAAAATTCTACTTCTACCTACCCATGAACCTTCAAGTGCAGGCCCGAGCTTAAATTTACATTCCCCAACAAAGGGGAGTTGCACTTTCTGGGACGGCCGCTATCTAAGGTTCGTTCCTAGGCGCCATGGCCAGGGATGTCCCAGGTCGCGCAAGGTGAGCTTCAGGGTCACGAAAGGGTGCAGGTTTGGGGGATTTTCAGGTTCGAGACCTTAAACCAAGGCCCCTAAACCCAGAGCCTTAATGTGGGTCTTGAGGGTTGGACGGGGTCCGTGTCGTCGGGCTTTGTAGCCTCGGAGCTCGAGCTCGTACTGAAAGGTTCAGATGATCGGGCACTGGGGTTAGCATACACGGCGGACCTCAGTGGCACCAAAACCCTGAAACACCCTAAACCAAAAAACCCTAAACCCTAAACCCTAAACCCCAAACCCCAAACCCTAAACCCTAAACCCTAAACCCTAAACCCCAAACCCTAAACCCTAAACCGTCCCCAAAACCTTTGGAAACCCCTAAAGGGAGAGCCAACGGAGGCGTCTGCGCATGGGAGCCCTGTCTGTGGAGAGCCCAGCGAATCCTTCTGCGGGTTTAGGGTTTAGGGGTCTGGGGTTCCGGGTTTTAGGGGTTGTCTCAGTCTTTTACTCAGGTACACAAAAGGGAAGCTTTGTGGAATCCAGGGTTGCTTGTTGGACTTGGGGTAGTGTAAGGGGGTATCATTCGCGATTTGTGAATCTTTATTTGGGGGTATATATCGTGGGTCTGTTTGCTGGTTTCGGCGGCTTTACGCGATTTTTGCGGTTTTACCCAGGGTTGGTTTCGGGGGGGGGGGGGGGTTGTAATGAGGGCTTTGTTGGGAGGTTCAAGGGTTTTGAGGCTTCGACCCTTTCAGTGCAGGGGGCTGGTTTAGGAGCCACTAGGAGTGCAGGGATATGTGCCCATGATTAGGAGCAGTGCACAAGGAGGCACTTGGTAGAAAATTGCGGTACAGTTCAAGGCAGGAGACCCTAAACTTTCAACCTTTAGCCTTGAGAACCCTGAAAACCCTATACCCTCCTCCTGACGAGGTGGTCGCAGCAGTGGTGGGGGTCTCGAGTGGTAGGCTGCTGCTCTCTTTCGTGCAGGCGCGCCTGGCTCGGCACTCCCAAAGTATCCATAAGTAGCAAAGCCCTAAATTAAGGGGTTTAAAAGCAGTGCGCAAATGGAGCCTGCCATAGGGTTAATTTGGCGTGCACACATCTTCTCCGTTTTTCCCTTTATTTGTTGATTTTTTTTTGGGGGGGGGGGGGGGGGGGGGCGGGGGTTGAGGCGCGCCTTGATTTTTGTTTTCCTTTTGGGTTTCCTTTGGGTCCCAGACGCCCGCCTCGACCCAACAGATGCGCTCCCCCACTTCCTTGTCACAGGCGGGCCCTTGGCGACTTTTGTTTATCCCTCATACTTCTTGGGCTTGACAGGATCATGTTTGGGAGGATTCTTCAGAGGGTTTTATAAGGGCCATGCTATTTTTTGAGGTTGCAGAGGTGGAGCCCCAAGCCGCTGTTAGGCCTCCTCTTCAGAGTCTCGAAGCCCTGAACTCGCGGCTTGGGGGGTTTTCGGGGTTTGTGTACTCCTGCCGCATCGAGTATGTCCTGGAACGTCAGCAAAGACGCCGAATTTGCAAAGAGCGTCTGCTCTGCGACATGCTCCAAGTACAAGTAAGGGAGCGCACGACTTTACAGGAACTTATGACTTGCAGTAGCTGATCTAGTGGTTCCTGACAGGTGTAACAACCTAGAATCTGCGCACCTCCATTTGCACATCCTCAGCTGCCCAGCAAACCAAAACGCAGCGTTGAAGCCTCCTCTCTACCTCCAGCCCCTTGCGCCATGGCCCCCGGACATCGGACGTTAGTGTTCCTCCGCCACCTGCGGGCGAGGCTTTCCCCGAACCAAGCCTGAAGCCCTAATCCGAAGGACTCGAAACCCTGAGCTCTGAGGTCTAAATCCGAAATCCCTAACTTTAAAAATCCCTGAACAGCGGACCAAGAGCCCGCACCTCTTCGGTTTGGGGTGTAGGGTTGAGGGTCTTGGGTTTTAGGGTCTTAGGGTTTGAGGGTTTTTTGGGTTTGAGGGTTTGAGGGTTTGGACGGGACATCCTGAGTCTTGAATACTCAAAAAGCCAGCTCAACCCTCAAAGCCCAAAACCTGGAAGCCTAATGAGACCCCCTCAAAATGGCCCCTCCCTCAACCCTAAACCCCTGAACCCAAAAACCCAACCCCCAAGGCCTGAAACTGAACCACTGGAACCCGAAACCCCAAATTTCCACCTGGCTGCTGCCGCCGCACCCGCCCCTTGCGAGATCATACCCCCCTTTGCTGCATGGACAACTGGCGGTCGCCCTGAACCATAACCCGAAACCCCAAACCCTAAAGCCTAAGCGCCAAACCCCGGACCCTCTCAGGGCTGAGCCTTGCCTTTAGAGCGATGCACCCCGGGGACTAGCCCCTCAACCCCTACCCCATAAACACAAACCCTGAAGTTGTCAGGGCGCTTACGGACGCCGAAAAGAGACAACTGACGCGTCTGATGTTGGGCCTTTGCAAGAGGGCATCTCGACAAGCTGGTGGTAATGAGTTCTGCAACTCCGACGAGGACGAACAAGACATCCTCGATACCACCCGCGACAGTGTCGTGGCATTCCTCCATACTATCACAACAGAAGCCCTCGAGAAGTTGGAGGATGACAAGCCTACAAACGCCCTAGACCCCTAAACCCTCAACCCTACACCCCCAACCCTCAACCCTCAACCCTCAACCCTCAACCCTCAACCCTCAACCCTCAACCCTCAACCCTCAACCCTCAACCCTCAACCCTCAACCCTCAACCCTCAACCCTCAACCCTCAACCCTCAACCCTCAACCCCCAACCCTCAACCCTCAACCCTCAACCCTCAACCCTCAACCCTCAACCCTCAACCCTCAACCCTCAACCCTCAACCCTCAACCCTCAACCCTCAACCCTCAACCCTCAACCCTCAACCCTCAACCCTCAACCCTCAACCCCAAACCCTAAACCCTCAACCCCAAACCCTACCCTCAACCCCAAACAACACCAAGCCCTCAACCCTAGATCCGAAACCCTCATCAGCTCCAAACCCTAAACTCTAAACCCTAAACCCTAAACCCTAAACTTTAAACCCTAAACCCTAAACCCTAAACCCTAAACCCTAAACCCTAAACCCTAAACCCTAAACCCTAAACCCTAAACCCTAAACCCTAAACCCTAAACCCTAAACCCTAAACCCTAAACCCTAAACCCTAAACCCTAAACCTAAACCCTAAACCCTTCGTTAATGAGGCCCCAGGCTCTGGGCGCCCGAGCCCATGCCGCCTCTGCCAGCTCCAGCATCGACCCGGAGGCCCTCTTTTTTTTTTTTTGTGGGCCTTGTAGGGTTAGGGTTTAGGTTTAGGGTTTAGGGTTTAGGGTTTAGGGTTTAGGGTTTAGGGTTTAGGGTTTAGGGTTTAGGGTTTAGGGTTTAGGGTTTAGGGTTTAGGGTTTAGGGTGCTTTGTCGGCATGTAGGGTGCCTGTAGGTTTATAGGTTTCGTTTGTAATGGCAAGGGGTGGGCTTTGCACACTGCTTAAAGGGCATACACGTCGGGTTTCGGAGAGGTTGAGGAAGCCAAAAGCCTTCGATTTTAACAGGGGGGTCTCACCGCACCACGAAGCAGCCTCCCGGCCTACGCAGGCGCATTCCCTGCCCACGGCCGCTGGTTCGTCGCAGCTGGCAAGCCCTTGCAAGGCGACGAAGGGCCGTAAGGTTTGTGTTTCGTATGTCTAATCCCTAATTCCCAGGACGCCTAAACCTAGGCCCTCAAGCCGAAACTCTGAGCCAAAGCAAGCCCGATCCGAAGTTCTAAAGCATCGGACTGGGGTCTCTGAATGCTAGGAAGGGGGGTCGTTTCAACAACGTAGGGCGATGCCGCGTGCTGGCACCACTTATACCTGTTAGAGCTGTCGGAAATCAACACTTGCTGGCCGCCCTTGGGACTGTAATGTGGATCGATGGCTTTAGCTCCAACAGCTTGTATACCTGAAGCCCTACATGGTCAAATCAAAACTGCAGAAAGAGGCCCTCTGCGGAAGGAACCCAAACTTTTGGAACAGCAACCCCACCCGCAACCCCAAGCCTCTTTGTCTAAAACCCAAAGCCTACACCCCCGAAGCCAGAACCCCTTCGAGCTCCAAAACTCCGAAGCCTGCAAGTCTTGGGCTTTGCCTGTCAGGCCGCCGTGCAGCTGACCGATGCAGAGTGGACCACCAGACTGCCCCTGAATCAGCCGCGAAGCAGCCAGATGATTTCAGGGCAGAGGGCTTGGGTCCAAGGCCAATTGTCCATGTTTGAGCACGCGCCAAGAACCCTCCTCCATTCAAGTAAGCAAGGGGCGGACGCGAATGCTCAGACACTTGAAAGACCAACGCTCATCGGCTATAAGCTTGAACATTTCCAAAGCGACACCTTCAGACATTAAACGGAGATATCTGATGCCAAACCCTGTAAAGCGAGGGGAGCACTTTGCGTCAATTAGCACCACCAGGGTGTTTTGGGATCCGCTCATTTGGGACCCATGAGGGGCAGTGTCGCGGCTCTCCCACCAGATCTGCAAAGAGCCATGTCCGGATTTCTGAATGAAGTTATGTGCTCAGTGCTCACGGCAGTTGGGTTCGCTGGGTGCCTTCTACTTGAAGGTTCATGGGTAGTTCTACCTAGGGTTAGAAGTACCCTGAAGAAGGTCACTTTCAACCCCAAGACCTGTTTGAACTGCCCATGAACATCCGAAATTACCCTAAACCCTAAACCCTAACCCCTAAACCCTAAACCCTCAACCCTAAACCCTAAAGGTACCTGGTCTTGCGGAAGAAGGCCACGGAGCCAGGCCAGATCTGGCCATGTCCCCACATCTTTCCGAATAAAAACCATCCCGACCCGCAAATTTTACCCAAAACCCCCCCCAAACAACCAGGGCCAAAACCCCTTAAGCCCCTACAAAAAGCCCCTAACACCGAACACCCCCCAAAACCGTGAGCTCCGAACCAATACCCCGAGCTCAAGCGCGAAAGCTTTTCTGTTGTCGTTTTGGTCTGGCCCTAAAGCCAAAACGGGCCCCACAGCCGTGAGCGAATTGCAAAACACGGTGGATGAGCAATGGCCGAGTGTGAGCACAAAGTGCACCGTCAGGGGAACCCATCAAGTACCAGGAGCTCTCCCCGGAAGAGATGGCAAGACAACCCATGGCACGAGTGGGGCCTGCGGGCAAGACATTCCCGGCACACCTCTGCCGACCGCTTGCAACAGCTCTTGGCACACAACCGCTTCAGTCCTTAAACCGAGCTGTGAACCCCTATGCGAGGCGCTTACGTTCGAGACGAGTAGCCCAGCCTGCCCGCGAGTCCTGACCCGGAGGTCTGCCAGTGCACCCGGGAAAGGTGCAAAGCCCTAACCATCTTTGCAGCCATTGCTATACTTTGAGGCACTGTACCCATTTGAGGAGGTGTTTAGGAGGACTGCCAAGGCAGGAAGTCTGGTCGCACATTGGCAAGGGAGCAGTGCGCAAAGCTTGCCGGCAAGCCTGGTAGAAAGTCATTTGTTGATTGACCTATGGGGACACCCTGCTATGCAATCCGGGGAGGTGGGTTCACCGTCCGACAAGCTTTGCGTCGCCGCGGGCTAGCTTCTAGGGAGCCTCGTCCGGTGCACCTGAGAAAGGTCGCGCTTGGATTGGAGCCCACGCACCAATGAGCGACCTCAAGTGTACAACAGGGGCCAAGCCCAAAACCCTGGGTTTAGGGTTTAGGGTTTAGGGTTTAGGGTTTAGGGTTTAGGGTTGCGCCCCGTGATCTCTGAAGCGGCCAAACCCATGGATGCTGGCAGGGCATCGGCTGCCCTTCCCGGCAGGCTTCGATGACCACTTCGAAGCAGGTCCGCACTCAGCACTTGCGCTGGCGGGTTTAGGGTAAATCCTAGGGGCTAAATGCTAAAGCCTGAACCTTGTACGTGTTTGTGCCCCTAGGCTTCCATATTGGGATTCCTGTGAAACAAACCAGCAACCCTTCAAGCGAAAGATTTAAGGTTTAGGCCTTTGCGAACATGAGAGAATCGGATGCGATGCGCATGTGAGACCCTCAAAGCTTGGGGTTCGCCTGATTGGTGGCAAATCAGGTGTGGCCCTGCCTACGTGCAGGGAAGCAAAGCCCACAGTGCCATCCCAATAGCAGCGGTGCGCTCCCTCGCAATCTCAAGCCCTAAACGCTGCAACGGAAGAATGCACTTCCGGCCGCTAGATTGGGAGATTTGCTCAGTTTCCCCTTAGCTTGAAGGCAATCCTGATTGCAAAGCAGAATGCCTCGCAACCTCCCCCCCAAAACTTCCTCAATCGGCTTCGCTCGCGGAGCCAACGTCCAGCAGGGCAGTAGGGGTTAGGGTTCAAGGTTAAGGGGCCTCCGAAACATCTGGAACTTGGTTTGAGGCTTGGGGGGCCAGGGCATCTGAACTATGGCAGCTGAGTTACATCCCCCGCGGAGGCGTCTACCTTTGCGCTGGCTGCTTTGTGGCAGGCCGGAAGCAGGTCTTGTCTCCCGGATCGCACATCTCACACGAATCGAAGCCCCGACTAGGAGGTTCATGGGTAGTTAGAAGCGGGGTTATGAGTAGGGTAGCTAATGGTTATAAGAGGACATCCCCAAACCCTAAAGCCCGAAAGCCCCAAGCCCTAAGTGGAACTGTAAACCCCTGCCTGAAGCCAAAACCCTACACTCTTAAACCCTAAATCCTACAGCAAACCGTCAAATTGGGTGTGAGGAGTGAAGGTGAGGAGAATGGGGTTTAGGGTTTTTGGGGTGTAGGGTTTAGAGTTTGACGGGTTTTGAGGTTTAGGGTTGAGCGGTTTATGGGTTGGCCAAAAGCCCTCAACCAACAAAAACCTCCAAACTCCCGAAAACCCCAAAGCTGCCCAAAACCCCCCCGAAACCTTAAACCGTAAACCCTAAACCCGAAACCCAAAGCCCTAAACCCTAAGTCTCCCGAAAGAGGTATACCAGCAGGATGAAGTTCGACTGCGGCTGCGGCTGGCCTGGCTTTTGGACCAACGTGCCGGGCCTAGTGGGGCACTGGGGGGGGGGGGAAGGCTGCTGCTCCCCTACTTGGAGGTTCGTGAGTAGTTAAAAGTAGGATTGTAAGTGCCGTGAACAAGGTTATAGCTGCATCATCCTACTGATAAACCCTACTTAAAACCACGCATGAGCCTCCAAGTATGTTTCGTGTTCAGGCGTTTGGCCCCGGGTATTTTGTTCGGAGTTTAGGGTCTAGGGTTTAGAGTCTAGAGTTTAGCGGGCTCCTTGAACGTGGGGCGGGTGTAGGGGCACCAGTACCCTGCCGTGTTTCTTCGAAAGAAACACATCAAAGCAAGATAGTTTGGTTTAGGGTGAGGGGTTAGGGTTTCGGGATGAGGCAGCTTTTTGTTCTTCTACATCTCCCCTAAATGCCCAAGAGGGCCCCCCAGCCCCAAACCCCGAAGCCCTAAGCCCATAAACCCCCCAAACTCTGAACCCTAAACCCCCTAAAGTCTACACCCTAAACCCCCTGACCCCCCTCAAGCCCTAAACCCTAAACCCCCTAAACCCTACAGCCCAACCTACTCCAGGTGGCCGGCAACGTCTTTGAGCAGCGCGATTCTGACGGATGCCGCGGCTCAGCCGAGGGAGTTGGTTTCGGCTTTTCAAGGAACAGGGTGTTTAGGGTTTAGGTTTTTTTTGGGTTTGGGGTCATTAATTTTAACGCCGCGTGAGCATGGTGATTCCGGGGGGGTGGGGGCGGGGGTGGGGGGAGGGGGGGGGAAAAGGGGGGGGGTGAACAACAGCGTGCGGCCCTGCTGGGAGGGGCTTCAACTGCCTCTGGTCCTGGCGAACCGTCCGCTTGCGGACCCCGGTTTCCCAGGGAGGGTACCCATTTGAGGCCAAAAAAAGGGGTCCGAAAAAGGGCTTTGGGTGTGGGGGGAGGATTTGGAGGGGTGCCTGTTCTGACAACCTATACACCTCCGGCCCGAGGCCTCGGCGGATTTATCATCTAAATTCGGGTACCTCAATTAGAAGCCTCCGAGTTCTGCTCGGAATCTCCCAAACAAAGTTGCAGGGGAAGGCAATTGAGACGGCTGCCCGCAGGTTCTTCTGATTTTAGGGTTTAGGGTTTAGGGTTTAGGGTTTAGGGTTTAATAGCACCCCGAGGCTGCGAAATCCTGTGCGCCGCCTGCCATGGGCACCTGGGCCACGTCTTTCGCGGGGAATCTCGGCTTGCAACAGTTGGAGGCAACCCCCCTAAGCCGTAAGCCCAAGAGACCCCGAATTTAGGGTTTAGGGTTGGGGGCCCTAAGCCCCAAATCCTAAACCTTAAAACCTACCAAGCTCAGGGTTTGTCGGGTTTGTGCCCAGATTAGGCTCTAACCCCGAACTGGAGCCAGTCGATCTTATTCATGTTTGTCCGCTGTTGCGTTTCCGCCTAACACCCCCAATTCTGTTCAGGGTTTAGAAGGGTTAGGATGTAGTGTTACCTCAACCGTAAACCCCTAAATTTGACAGCCAAAGAAGAACCCCAAAACTCTCAGACCCATGATCTTCCCTGCTGTGGAATTGGAGCTGTAGACCCAGCTCCCGAACCAAGAGGGTTAGGGTTTAAAGGTTTAGGGTTCTGACCCAGAACCCTACATTCCCACCCGGTCGGGCTGCCATTTCCACGTGGTACTGACTGCCGCTGCGCGGGGTCATCCGAAGTCCTGCTACTGAGCTCCTCACCCTGAACCCTGATCCCCATGCTCATGCCCTAAACTCGAAATCCCCAAACCCAAGATCCCCAAACCCTAAAAGCCCGAAGCCCTAAACCCTGAAAGCCTTAAGCCCTAGACCCTAAACCCTAAGCCTAAGCCCTAAACCCTAAACCTTCCCCTGAACCTTGATACCCTAAACCCTGAACCCTAAGCCCTAAGCCCGGAGACCCAAGCCCGAAGCCCCAAACACCACACTCCGGAACCCTAAATCCTAAACCCTAAACCCTAAACCCTAAACCCTAAACCCTAAACCCTAAACCCTAAACCCTAAACCCTAAACCCTAAACCCTAAACCCTAAACCGGAACCCAAACCCAAGACCCGAAGCCGGAGCCTCGAGGAGGGCTTCGGATACTGCACCGACGAGCGGCACTGCGTGAACTCCCTGAGCCTCCCTGCAGAAGTCTAGGGGTCCGTGGTTTAGGGTTTAGGTTTTAGGGCTACTTGGCGGTTAAAAGTTGGGTTTGAAGTATCCGAAGTCAGGCTATAATCGTCTATACTTATAGCCCCACAAACGACTCATGAACCTCCAATTACCAAACTCTAAACCCTAAGCCCAAAGCCCACCAAAACCCTAAACCCTAAACTGCCCTATGCCCTAAACCCTAAACCTAAACCCTTAAACCCCTAAACCCTAAGCGTTCTCCATTCGGGGTTCTGGGCGTTGGGGGGTTTTGTTGGGGTATTAGGGCAGAGGGGCTACCAGGTGCGCCCTTGGAATGTGTTGTATCGGTTCCCTTTTTGGGTCTTTAGACGATCTAGTGAAGGAATGTCTTGTAGAAGGTTGCGAGGACCTAGACTCTTGCCCAAGCACAGAACCAACCTCCCCTCGAAACCTGGAAGCCCCAAACGAAAACTCCAAAATCCCAAGTCCAAGGCATTAAAACACTAGTCCCCAATCCCTGAACCTTAGCAGATGCCCAGAATCCGTGAGCCACCCTTCCGACGAAATTGAACTTGGTTTACTTGGAACTTCGAGCCCTTTAACTCAACCCCCCAGGCCTCATCTTCCTGGCGGCCGGCAGTGAGGAGCCAGTGAAGCCCGCATACCAGGGCCCAGTGTTTTGAGCCCCACGCGGATATATCTCCAGGGCTCCTGCCCCAGGCCCGAAGCGGCGCCACGGTAGGCCGTAAAAGCAGGGCTTTGGTGCTTTTGGGGCATACGGTTTGTTTTCAATCTTACGCTAAACAATATTAAACAAGCTAGGCCGAGTTGGAGGCCTCAGGGCTTCTGGATCCTCAACCCTAAGCCCTAAACCTGCTAGGATGCCCAGTAGTGCCCTTATTCCCTTTTTGGTAGGTTTAGGTTCCCTTATAAACCCCTTTAAGCAAAAAAGGGCACCCTTTTTCATCCTAGGTTACTGGGCAACCTAGCCTGAAATCATCAACCCCGAACCCTAAATTGGGTCGATCTGTATCCTGCGAGCTGCGAGGATCCGAAAAATGGCATGGGGGCTGCTGGTTTCGAGTTTCGGGCTTAAGGGCTTAAGGGCTTTAAGGGCTTAAGGGCTTAAAGGGCTTAAGGGGCTTAAGGGGCTTAAGGGGCTTAAGGGGCTTAAGGGCTTAAGGGCTTAATAAAGGGCTTAAGGGCTTCAGGGCTTAGGGTTAAGGTTTTAACCCTGAACCTTGCCTAAACCGGAGCCCAAGTCCCTGAACCCGAGACTCACTGGTTCGGGATAGGGTTTCAGGTGAGAAGGGGCCGCACCTTTGCATTGCATTGCATGTGGTTGTCATCGGCTGGCTGGCTTCTGGCTCTTTGGGTGGTCTGCCTTCAGTTTTTGGCGCTTTCTGCGTGTTGTTGGCGTTCTACATGCTTCTTTGCGTGCTATCTGCTTTAGGCCTCCCCCCCACCCCAGATGGACAACACATTTCGGACGTCGCAAAAGACCAGCAACAGAGCTGGATCGGCCATGATCTCGATCATTATTGTTTTTAGAAGATGTGCTTGCTGCGCGTCCACGTCATCTATTCCCCAGAAAGCTACGCGCAGGCGGCCTGCTGGGGGCCGTCACGAAGCCTGCAAGTCCGAAGGTCTGCGCGGTTTAGGGCATGGGGTGTAGGGGCCAGGGATTCGGCAGTTTAGGGTCCAACAGGGCAGCTTGGGTCCAACCGATTTGATGGTTGAGTGCTCAGGGTTGCAGGTGTGCTAAGTTTCGGGTGCAGCGAACTAGCCCAGTCCGAGGAAAGTTGGTTTTGCCCCCAAAGGCCGCAGATCCTCAACCTCCGAAACGGCTTACCCAGTGTCCTGATCCTAAACTCGTAACATAGTGGTCGGAATAGTTGCTAATAGTATTCCGTATTCCCTTGGGGTCCCTTTATAAATATACAAGAAACCCCCCAAAGCCCTTTTTCTAATCTACTATCTGCTTAAGACCCCCAAAAGAATGAATCCCTATATTACCCTTATAAGGGATAATATTTTGTGTTTTTTGGGGGGTTCTTAAGCCATTAGTAGTACTTCGTCCGGCCCCTAGAGCAAGTCCCCCACAGCCCTACACCCCGAGCGCCAAAGTCAGGGCCGCCGAGTCGACTCCTGGAGAGCCGTCGGAGCCAGAGGAAGAGGCGATAAACCCGAAACCCGAGACCCGAAACCCGAAACCCGAAACCCCCAACCCCAAACCCCAAACCCCAAACCCCAAACCCTAAACCCTAAACACTAAACCCTAAACCCTAAACCCTAAACCCTAAACCCTATCTTGGGGCTTAGCTTCCGCAGCACTTGAGTAAGGTAACCTTTCGCAGCAACCTTTCCAGGGTTTAGGGTTCAGGATCTAACTTGTATGGGGGCGGGGGGTTTCCCAAAAAATGGGTACCCATTTTGGGGTCCTTCTACATGGGATGATACTGCGGCACATTTGGGAACCCCCTATTTTGGGTAATGCCATAAGGGGGCTTCAATGAAGCCTACCTGTCCGGCTTCCTAGGTGAACTAAAGGCTAACCTTTCGGGATCATATGAAACGTTCTCTAAATTGTAGTCCGTTTTGGGGATCCTATTCTATTACAGCCTTGTATTTAGGGTACCAAAAAAACCCATAATTTAGAGATTCCACCATGTGTGGTCGGGAAGAAATACTCGACACTAAATCCTTGAGCAGGGAAGGGTGTTTTATGGTTGTAGTTTAGGGGGTTAGGGTTTCAGGGTTTGGGGTTTAGCGGGATGTGCGGCGGCGAATTCTCTAATTCTCTGCTAGGAAGTAGGGACTAGTCAGTTTGGCGGCCAGCTATTCACACTGTTCAGGACACAACGAATGTGGAGCTGTTCCGACAGTCCCTGATTCAAGGCGGGCTAATCCTGTGTGAGAGGGCCTTCAGCACCTTTTTCTGTGTGGCGCGTGTCTTCTACTATTACATCATTATATGAACATATTATTACCATTATTTTTAATTATTGTATTGTTTTTGTATAACTATCTTTGTGTGTTTTCTAAGTGAGTAGGGTGCCGATGTGCTCAGTGTTTCGGACGGCGCCTGTTTCGTGACGGCCCCCGTGTGGTTTAGGTGAGCCTGTCGAGTCTGAGATCTCACCGGGCTCGTGGTATGTGACTGCCGTCCTCGTGTCATGTGATGCAACAGTAATGCTGTAACCATGTTACCAGTACTAGTAGCGTGAAGAGCCGCACCCCCAACCCCAAAATCACCCCAAAATTCTGATCGCAAAGTTTGCAAGCCCCAAGCCCCAAACCCTAAACACAAAAACCATAGAACCCAAAACCCCAAACCCCGGAACCCTAGCCCTAGACGTAGCATCCTTCCATCTCTAAAGCCAAAAGTCAAAACCTCGGAGCTCTGAACCCTAAATCCTAAACCCTAAACCCTTTGCCCTCAACCCTAAACCCTAAACCCCGAACCTGCAACCTTCTAAGCTCTGAGCCCCGAGGGTGGGCCTCTGGTGGATCCGTCGGTGGTGCTTCAGGCCCGGCCTCTCGGAAGTCTTACTTAGGGTTTAGGGTTTAGGGTTGATAGGGTTTAGGGTTTAGGGTCCAGGAGTTTAAGGTTTTGCTTTTGGGGTCCAAGGTTCAGGGGTAGCAAGCAGCTGTGCCGTAGTTTGCGGCTTGAGGGTTGCTACGCAATGTCGAGTGCTACGCGTGGTTCTCATTCCCCGTAAACCCTAAACCCTAAACCCTCAACCATACCTAAAGCCTAAACTCTCAACCCTAAACCCTAAAACCTAACCCCTGAACCCTAAACCCGAAACCCTCAACCAAACCCTGAACCCCAAACCCGAAACCATAAACCCTAAGCCTAGACTCTACTCTAGTTTAGGGCTTCTGGAACCCTGGGGTTGCACTTGCCAGGTCCTCTAAGGTTGTGGTTGGTTGGAGCCATATGCAACACCCCAAGCCGTGACGCAGAGAGCCCAGTATGCCTTAGCTAGGGAAGGCCTCCCCTAAACTCCTCAACCCTTCAACCCCTTTATCCTATAGACCCTGAAGGCCTCTTGCCTAGACCCCAAAGGTTCCCTTCCCCAATTCGAGGGAGTTCTCGCAGGCACCTCGGATTGGGCCGAGCCGATAGAGCCCGCCCGGGGTCTCGGCTCTCGCAACCTTAGGGTTCTATGGGCACCCTACAGGGTTTAGGGTTTAGGGTTGAGGGTATCCCCCAACGTTTAGGGTTCTTCGAAAGCCTTATAACATCCCCATCTAACAATTCCCACCACGCCGTCCCAGGCGGCAAAACCACCCTCCAACAGGGGGGGTCCCAGGTTTCAGGAGGTCTGAGGAATCCCAGTATGTTCTTGAGTTTTAGGGTAACGCCTGACGCCCCCAAAACCTGATGCCCTGCATCCCCCGGATCCCTTCGGGATCCCGGATCCCTTCGCTTCGGGATCCCGGATCCCTTTGGCTTGTTACTGTGTTGGGGTTTAGAGTTTTGCACCTTTAGGGTGTAGGATTAGACGGGGATGGACTCTGCTCAGGGTTATGTGGTGCATTCGAGAGGGTTGAGGCTTTGGGCTTTCGGGTTTTCGGCCCGACCTGAGGTTCAGCCTTCTCAACCTTGAACCCCAAACCCGAAACTCTGATCGATGCTTGAACTGCATGCAGGTTGTGAGTGTCAGTCGCGGCTTGAGTTCTTCAGGTCTACTTGTAGGTTTGTGGGCAGATAGAAGTAGAGTTGCAGAAAAGAGGGCCCATGATGCTTCAAACCGCCAAGCCTTCCCTAAATCGGTGGAAAACCCGCCGGGATGCCTCAAGACAGCAGGTTTAAAATTCAGCACCTGAAGGTTTAATCCCCCCGGCCCCAAGCACCCCGTTTAGGGCTTGGGGCCTGGAGTCTGGACCCTTCGCCCTCAGTCCTTAAGCACTAGCAACCTGCCATCACCCCTATCTCGAAGAGGCGTCTCTCAAGTCTTGGTGCTCACAGGCCGATGTCCGCCCAGGCGACATCCTTCTCGGCGACCCTGCCAGGTGAGTTTGTTTTTTTCATAATAGTAATAGTGATAATATTATAGTTTAAAAATAATCGTGATAATAGTGATAAAGATAATAATACTAATAATGATTTCGGTGATAGTAATAATAATATTATTAGTAATTTTCGTTGAGGGGGGGAAGTCGGGGTTAGGTTTCTTGAGGGCTTGCGAGTAATTGTATTGTTTGTTAAGGAGCGTTCACGCGTCGCGTGAGGTTGTGAAGGTGGTGTACTCGAGGGGAGAGGTACTGAAATGGAGTTCTTCAACCAGGCCCGGCGGCCCTTATGTCTTGTGGAGAAACGAGCAGCTTCACAGATACGAACAGGCACCCGCCCATAAACCTGCAAGCCCTCGCCGTTCCCCCCTCCGTCACGCGCCCGCCGCGTCTGCAGTTTCTTCGGCGAGGGCGCTTCGAACGCTTTGCGGCGGGTGGGGCTCCAGGCGGGTTTTGGGGCTTATGGCAAAGGGCCACAGTCGCGAATTTCCTGTGAGGGTGTTGTGCAGGTACAAGGGAGCAGGTTGTTGCAGACGGGTGGGCTTTTCTGGTTGCAATGTCAACGACATGAAGTTCTTTGGATGTCACATGTCACTCCGCATGTCATTCCCACATTCCCATATTGCTACACCATCCAAAGCCCGAGTGTTCTCTCCGGCATGTGAAATAAATATCTAGCATACAGACATACAATGTTTACAATATGCAATATAAATGCACAAGTTAGAGGATCATTTTAATAGAATATACACCATGTACTACAATATATACTCCGTAGAGTTCATGCCAGGTTTACATTCTGCGCCTGTCGGGGTTTGGGGGAGGATGTAGGGCCCAGTGCCGGCAGTGGGGTGCAGTTTAGCAAGTCAATCTGAATTCGGAGATAGAGCCCTTGAAGCAGTAGGTAGTTCTTACTGGTGTTTAGTAGGGAATGAAGGCATTAGGTACTCTACATAATCCCTTTAAGTTCCTTCATTCCCTACTTGTAGGCAGTTGGAGTCCCGGGTAAGGCCCAGACCCAAAACCTGGAGTCCCATTCATTGAGGAGCGCATCCCGGCAGACTACCCGCGGCGCGAGCGCTTGGTGGCCTGATCTTGTTGGATGCACGCAGCGCACTGTTACTGCAAGGTTTGTCCATAGCTCAGCCCCAAACCCTTCCTCCTGTAGAGCTTCTGCGTGTAAGTTGCAGGCAAGGTCCCTCTATATATATATATAATTTAATATAATATATGTATATATATATACATATCTATATAATATATACATATATTCATTCATTTATTTATTTATTTGTTTATTCATTCATTCATTCGTTCGTTCGTTCGTTCATTCATTCATTCATTCATTTGTTTCTGTATTTATATCGTTATTTATTTTTATTTATGCACACACACACACGCACGCACACACATGCACATCAGTGATATCAGTGCAGCGTCAGGGGCCCTGATTCCCTAAGCCCGAACCCCCAGTGAATCAGATCGCCTTGTAGAACCCTGTCATGCGCTTCTCCTAGTCGAACCCCTTCACCCCACACCCAAACAACGCCTTCCAGGACTGTGTTTACCGGTTCAGGGGGTGTCTAGGAGTCTAGGGTGTTGGGGAAAACCATCGGGGGGTTTTGGGGTCGATTCCAAAACCCGAATCCCGAAGTAGGGACGGGGGGCTCGGGGTGTGAGGGCCCCTCTTTTTGGAAGTCGTGTCGGGGTTATGGTGTTTGGGGCTAGGGTTGGGGCTAAGGATTTGGGCAGCCTAGTTACGTCGGATCCCGCTCTGCACGAACTTGTTTCCCTGTGCCAGCGCTACCTGCCGGTTGTCCTCCTGACCGAAGTGGACAAGGATCACCCTAATCATGCCCGACACGCCAGCCACAGTAGATCGGGTTCGACATGCTGTGCCAAGACACGGCTGAAAAAGAAGCTGTGACTTCTCCTCCTTGCAACCTCCTGCTTGTTCGTGCCTTGGAGGTTCAGATGGCAGTTCCATGTAAAGATCGTGATCGGGATTGTTCAGGCCATTCGAAGGTGTGCCAACGTGAGTAGACATGGCAACATACACGAGACGTACAATACACAAGCGACTTGCTTCAGGCGGCTGCGAAAGTGCTCAAAATTAATCCCTTCACTTTCCCTGAAGCTCCTGCGGGGCCTTCCTTTTTCCCGGCCCCGTCGCCTGGAGGAGAGCGACACCGCTCGTGGGGCTTCAGCCTCAGACGCCCTGGGTCGGGGCCGGTAGGACTCGAGCGCTGAGGGTGTGTAAGAAAAGATGTGGAGTTTTAAGATTTGGGATTTAGGCTTTCGGGTATAGGGTTTGGGGTTTGGGGCATGGAGCTGGGTTTAGTTTAAGGTTCATGTGTAGGGCCCAAACGAAGATAGGGGAACCCCAGGAATAGCTACACATGAGCCTTCAATCAGAGCCCCAGTGTGCAAAAGCTTAGGGTTTGGGGGTTGAGAAACTTTGGCTCCATCTGGTTTTAGGTTGACTCCAAACTCACACCCTCAACCCTAACCCTAGACCCTAGACCCGAGCTGTAAGCGCCCATGAGCCTTCAAACAAATCAGCTCTGTGAAGCCCGGGCCGACCCTGGACCCCAAAGCCCCAAACCTCAAGCTCTATACCCTCAACCCTCAAACCTAAACCCTAAACCCTAAACCCTAAACCCTAAACCCTAAACCCTAAACCCTAAACCCTAACCCCTAAACCCTAACCCCTAAACCCTAACCGCAAAGCCCCAAAGCAACTTGGGCTTCGGTCCCAAAGGGCTTTGCCGGAAGCCCGGTCAATGGCCGAGGGCTTTTAGAGTTTGGGATTCAGGGTTTAAGGGTTCAGGGTTTAAGGGGTTTTGGGGTTCAGGGTTTAGGGGGTTTAGGGTTCAGGGTTTAGGGGTTTTAGGGGTTTAGGGGTTTAGGGGTTTTGGGGGTTTAGGGGTTTAGGGTCTCAGGTTTCAGGGCTTCAGGGTTTCAGGGGCTTGCCGGCCCTTCTCGAAGGTCTGGCTGACGCTGCGAACTGGGAGGCTGCTAGGCGCGGCCGGGCTTTTTGGAGCTTAAATCTGCCCCAGATCTTCCAAAACCCCTGATTTAAGAGTATGCCCTAATGCATAAGAAGGGTCCTTAGTATGAATTAGGGTATGTTCCTCAAATAAGGGAAAATGCCCTAATTCGTAATAAGGATCCTTAGTATAAGTTGGGGTGCACTCCTCAATGAAGGGGTTTTGGTTCTAAAACCCTACAACCCGAGATAAACCCCAATTAATCCCTCTGCACCCCTAAGTAAGCCCTGTTCAAGCCGCACGTAAAGCAGGGTTCAGGGTTTGGGGTCTAGAAAGTTTAGGGTTTAGGGCTACCCTAAACCCAAAACCCCTTCACGTCAGGGTCGAGGATTCAAGCCCTCTAAAGGGCTGCAAATCGGATAGCTTCATGTAGAACTCTCAAGGCCTCAAACCCAAGGGGCCCGAATCCCGGCGCGAGGCGACCTCATCGACGTTTTCCACAGCCGGCCCGACCCCCAACTTGACCTGAGGAGGAGTTTCACATGAGGGTTTCCGAAAATAGGGGTACCCTTTTTTGCGGGGGGGGGGGGGTCCCTTTTAAGGGCAAACCCTAGACCCTAAACCCTAAACGCTGTAGGGGTTCAGGGTGTAGGGTTTCAGGGTTGAGGGAACCCTAACCCTGAAACCGGTGGTTCTGAGACCGGCAACCTACGTTACTATTCACAAATCGGTTGTGCCTGGAGCCCCAAACCAACGGATACGGTAGGCCGCAGGTCAGCTTCTGGCTCCAAGCGGAGTCTAAAGTGACATCTAGTTTCCCTGTGCCGCGCTCCATTCTCATGCTGCCTGACTACAGCGATAGTCCGGTTCTTGCCGGCGTGGTTGCGCAGGGGCTCCTTCCTTCGAAGAGGGATTGCTACCTGTTGGCGCAGACAGTGTTGAGTGGATTTGCCAGCTGGTTTTGCTCTCCTCCTGCGTGGACAGTGGGAGAGGCCAGTGCGACCCTTCGAAAACGTTACATCGACATCCAGGATAGCTATGATGGCGTTGCCGTCATCCATCGTGGATGCATTCAAGACTACTTTGCAGAGGGAGGGCACCTCGGCCGAGGTGCATTTGGGACAGTGTGCAGGATCGAGCCTACTGGACATGGACTGAGCCGCTTCAAGCCATTGAGCCCGGGCATCGCCTACGCAATGAAGAGGGTTAAACTCCCCAACCGCGATACAGAGTTGGAGTCGCTCTCCAAAAGCTTCGTGAAGGTCCCCAGGAGCCGCATGCTCGAGTTCCTTCAGGCCCTGGGTGAGGAGACGGCCACGCGAGAGCACGTGACGCGAAATCTTCTGAGGGTCTTGGACATGCCGCAAAGCATGTACATTGTCATGAACCTTCTGGAGGGGCCAACACTGCAAGGTTGGATGACCTCGATGGAGACCGCAGTTCCCGAGCGCACCTGCGCAGACTTGGCGCAGCAGATGCTCTCGGCAGTGCACTACTTGCATCGTGTGGCTGGAGCCGTACATCGTGACGTTAAACCGGACAACTTTGGCTTTGTTCGTGCAGTCCGAAATATTGACCAGCCAGGGAACATACAGCTCTTCGACATGGGCTTGGCTTGGGTGCTGCCCGAAAAGATCCAAGAGTCCAGCGCAACGGACCTCCATGATGTTGCTCCTGGGGGCACACTGCGTTGGCTCTCCCCTGAAGCCTGGTGCGGACTCTGCGGTGCCTGCTCGGACGTTTGGGGGGTGGGATTGATTGTGCACACACTCCTCGTCGGAGACATGCCTTTTGGACTCCGCAAGCTTGAGGAGGAGGTGCAGGTCCGCAATGCTGTTTTCAAGAGCAAGTTGAACCTGAGCACCTCGATCTGGCGCCGTGTCTCCGAGCAGGCGCGCAAGTTCGTAGACCAACTCTTGGCCAAGGACGTCGCGGCTCGGGCCACCACGACTGCAGCACTGAGGCACAGCTTCATCCGAGAGGAGACCGTGCCTCCGCCATGGAGTTCGAGGACACGTGCACCGAGAACGTGCCGAGATGGATGTACTGGTATGTAGTATAGATTGTGTGCTGAAAGTAGTATGAGAACGTAGCATGGGAACAGTAGCCGAAAGCTGAACCTACTAGAGTTCGAGCATCCCCGCAAGCATGATGTGCTAGTAGCTGTGATGCTGATGGGGTCGTATAGTCCTGACCTGAACAAAAAGCTGCTGCTTCCTGGATACAGGCTTGGGCGCTACATTGCCAGCCTAATACCCAGTGCATGTTGTATCTTTTTCAATTCAATCTGCCCAGGGCAATTGCCCGACGATTGGCAGCTGCCATCTAGAGCCTTCGCAGGAGCAAACCATACCGTTGGCTGGTTCAAAATTAGGCAGGTCAGGTGACGTGTGGATCTTTTGGGCTCATTGAAGGTATGGTTTGCGATTCTCCTCCCTGATGCATGCTATGCATCCTTTGAGACAGGGAGACCAAAGGCCATAGGAGGTCGAAAGGAACTCGGATGATGAGCCACGGAAACACGCTACTTGGCAGCGTCCGCAAAGTTTCCTCGACCGGCCATCCTTGCACAATCCTAAACAGTGCCGTTGCATTGTTGCCTAATCTTGGAACTGTGCAGCTGGAGACGGCGCCTCGGAGAACGACGTGCGAAGAAAAAAAGGGCCGAGAGCAGTTCGAGCGAGTCGAAGTCCCGAACGATTCTCTAAAAGGGGTGCCCCCTATTTTGGGAAGTACCCTCGAGAAGGCGAGCTTGCGCGTTTATTTGGGCCTTGTGGATGCGGCGCAGTGAGGGTGGTAGGAAAGGATACCACCATGCCCAGGGATCTACTACTAGTTGCTTAAGAACCCCAAACGAATAAAAGATATATTTCTATTTGTTTTGGGGTTCTTAAGCAATTAGTAGTGTAGGATCGAGGCTTTTTGCGTGTTTAGATGTCAGTGTTCAGGTCCGGGACTGGGGTTTCAGGGTGTCGGGATGCTCAAGAAGTGTGGAGTTCACGTTTACTCGTACAACTCTCACCTAAGCCCTAGACACCCGAAACCCTAAACACCACCTTGAAGTAGGCACAGCGTTGTAGGGTTCTGGGGGTTTCTTGCAAAGTCGAAGCCGAGGCCGCTGCTCTATGGCGGCCCCGCGTCCAGTGAAGGTCACGGGGCTTGGGGTTGAGGGCTCAGGGTTAGGATATTTTTGCCACCCCACAACCACATGAAATCCTAAGCCCTAAGGTCCTAAACCCCAAAGCCTAAGGCCCAAACCCTCGAAGTCTCACACCCTGAACCCGGAACCCGAAAGATTTACGTCACAAACCCCCAGCCCTGAACTCTTAAACCGACTCACCTTGGTTTTCATCCATCCTGTTTGGTGGCATGCTGCGTTTGGGCACGAAGGTTTGGCGTTTGATGTGTGTGCGTGTGTGTGAGTGTGTGCGTCAGGAACACCTTGATCTAGGTCTTGGGTGGGCCTTCTGGGGCTCTCTGCTATAGCGCTCATAGTTTATGGTTCAACGGGCTCCGCAATTTCAATCAGCCTCCAAACAAGAAGGAGGACTCCCGACAGGTGTGTTGTGTTTTCTTGAAAGTTTTTGTTTTCATTTTATGGTGGGCCCTGTTGCCTCACAAGTTCTTAGAAGGTCCTTAACCCTTAGACCCTAAACCCGTTTCCTAAACCTGGAGGGTCTGCAACTCTGCTTTGGTGTCCGGGCGGACGGTGGTCGCGTAAACCCAGGACACCCCAAATCCCAAGCCCGAAACCCCCGCGAGGAGCGGGGCTTTAAGCCCGTCAACCCTCGTCAACTTCATTCCCGCAGCGTTAGGACGGTTTAGGATGGTTTAGGGCCTCGGGCTTCGGATTATTTAGGGTCAGGAGTTCGGAGTCACCCGCAGCAGGCTTTGCTCATTGCCCGAAAGTGTCGCATTCCGCTCTCTCTCCGCTTCCGCACTCGCCATGTCACTCACACCCGCTGCCGTGCTTTCCGAGGAGGAGGCCGAGACCCTGAAGAAAACCCTCATCCCTTAAACCTCTTGAGCCCGTAAGCCCCTAAGCCCCTAGCCTAAACCCTAAATCCTAAACCCTAAACTTTAACCCTAAACCCTAAACCCTAAACCCTGAACCCTGAACCCTAAACCCTAAACCCTGAACCCTAAACCCTAAACCCCCTAAGCCCCTGAACCCTCAACCCGAAGGTTGCCCAGACGGGGGGGGGCCCCCTCAACTCTGCTTGTACGTCGTGGCGTATGTTTTCAACCCGTCCATCCCACACACGTTGCCTGGTTTCGTAAGGGTTTGGGATCTATGTAGGATTTAGAGTTGTGTGTTTTTGTTGTGTATATCTTACTCCTGCAAAGGAAGATTATTCTGGTTCTAAGTTCTACGGGGATCAGAGTAAGCAAAAACAACTCAAAAAACCCTAACCCTCTCCGACCCCGTCGGAGCGGGGCTTAAGCCCCGGCTTTTACATGTTCGATTCCTGCAACGGGTTTAGGGTTTAGGGTGTAGGGCCTCAAATCAAGCACGTGTGGAAAGCGCTGACCTTGCTACGTAGAAGCCCCTGACGTGCCGCAGTCGCACCAGAAGTTGGGGTTCAAGATTGTCCAAAACCCTAAACCCAAACCCTAAAACCCCAAACCCTAAACCCTAAACCCCTTAACCCCTAAACCCCTAAACCCCTAAACCCTAAACTCCAAACCCCCAAACCCTAAACCCCTAAAAACCCTTAAGAACGATCCGCAGGTCCTGGTGGAGAGGCCTCACTCTCGCAGCAAGCGCCACTGGTACCTCGCAGGCACGGGTGCGCCACTGGACCGAGCCTCTTCAACCCAAGACTCCACATTTGGCCACGCGGGGCCCCATACGCAAAGTCTTTCCCAAAACGCCCCCCTCCCAAACCCTCATAAACCCTTGGCCCTAGGCCCTAAACCCTAAACCCTAAACCCTAAACCCTAAACCCTAAACCCTAAACCCTAGACCCTAAACCCCAAACCCTAAACCCTAAACCCTAAACCCTAAACCCTAAACCCCTAAACCCCTAAACCCCCAAACCCCTAAACCCCTAAACCCCTAAACCCATAATTCCCTAAACCTTGAACTGTGGCAGGTGCGGCAGTGGCGGCCCTGGCCGTGGTGGGTGTCGTGGCCAAGGTGCCCTGTTGGCTGACCTATTCAGGTTGCATGGAACAAGGGTAGGGTGCCTAAAGAGTTTGGGGTTCTGGGCATTTGGGCCTTTTTTCGGGGGCCGAAGGTTCGGAGTGTTTTTCAGCGTCTGGGTTCCACAGATTCAGGGCCGAATCTGTGATTAGGAACCAGCGTCGCGTCAGAGCACCATCAATGTTCTTGAGGCTTGGAGTTGCGTTGCTTTGGACCTTGGCATTTGGCACCCACCTGCCTCCCACCCCCAAAAAGTCTTTCGCAGCCACAGGTGTCCCACTCTCCTCTCTCCAAGTCAAAGACCTTGGACGAGATTGAGAACTGGGAGGAGCTTCCAGGAATGGACAAGGTCGGGGCTACAGTGTTCGGGGCCCCATTCGAGGATAAAGGACCCTATTGCTCGATGCTCGGACACCTTCCCCGACGGCCCAAAAGCTAAGTCGGCCCCTGAGCCTTTGCCCCTAAGCCCCCTTCAACAATGAGCCCTAAACCCCAAAACCTCCCTAAACTCCCTAAAAACCCTGAGCCTCGAAACAGCCTCCCGCAAGGTCATTCTCAAGGCGCAATCCTTGAAGCCGAAGCACCCCCTGCGCAACCTCAATGACCTGCATCTCAGCTCAGTCGAGGAGTTGGGGGGTTGTTTAGTCTAAGTTTACGGTTTAGGGAGGGTCTTGAGGGTGTCAGCTGAGGCCTTTGTGGCTTTAGAGCTTTCGGGTCCAGTGTTTCGGGTTGTACCAGTAGGCCCAGGGTTGTAGCATTTTCTTCTGTGTGGAGTTTTGTGGGAGTTCAGTGGACGGTGTAGGACTGTTCCTTGACTACGGACTCTGGGCCCTAGACCCAAACAAACCCTGTCAGCAGCTCACTTGCAAGGGCAGGCCTCGGGTTCACGCCCTTAACAGGGATTATAATCGGGGGTACTCGAATCCCTCTTCAGGACTGTTAGTTTCAGGGGGTCCATCCCAAAGTATCTACCATAGCCGTGCCACCCCAAAAGAGCGCCTGGATTTGGGCTGTGGCTTATGTACCGCTGACGAAGCCACCAATATCTCATTGAATTCTGGCGAAAGTCACCAGGTACTTTTGACTGAAACATGTGCTGCAGGTCTGATGGTTGCCGGGCATTTCCGCGGTTGGAGGGTGATCATTTAGGGTTTAAAAGGCTATGAAACGTTATGAATATCGGGCTTCAGGGCTCATTCTTTTGTTAGAATTAGGTCGGTGAGGTTTAACGCCAAGTTGGGTGGCAGGATGAATCCAGCTCTTCTCAAACTAGGCAGCATGATCGGTTCAATAGACGCGAGAGCCGGATAGGCACCCTAAACCATAAACCAGACACCCTCAAACCTAGCATCGGAGGTTCTACGATTCGGTGCCGGAGGCTCTTCAGCTTGCAGTCGGAGTTTGGGGTTTAGGGCTTACGGTTTAGGGTTTAGGGTTTGGGGTTCAGGGCCACAAGGGCCAAACGCTCAATCCTCAACCGTGACCCTTTAAACCTTCAGTCCTAAACCCTCTTCAGCTGCCGCAACCCCTCGCTAAGCAATAGTTTCAACCTATCTTGAAGCCTCCAAGCAATGCAAATCTCCAAGCTCAATCGCTCCGCCTCCATCTCACCGGCTGCCCGTTTGCGGAACGAGTGGGTTGAGGGTTTAAAGTTCGGCGTTCCAGGGTTTGGGGTTTGGGGTTTAGGGTTTGGGGTTTGGGGTTTGGGGTTTAGGTGGTTCAAAGTTCAGTGCCTGCAATTCGGGGGCCTTCGAGGCAACAGCAAGCACTCTGTCGTTGTCAAACCGCCGTGGGCAGAGGATGTCATCAAGCACCGTGGGTGCGTTGCCAAACTTGTTGCCAGACCGGGCAAGGTGCTTCAGTGGGCTTGTCACTGCAAGCGAGCCTTCTTTGCCAGCAACAGTGCTCAGTTAAGTGTCATGCGCCAAAACCACAAGAACAGAGCTCATGACAATGCCAGGAACGAGGTGCCGCCCCTGTTTTGGTCTGAACAGGCCGGGCTCAGAGTTGTCAAGCTGAAGGGATTGATGATGACCAGTGCTTGGGAGTGTGCCAAGTGCCACAAAGGCCTCCCGGGCAATCTGAGCACAGTGGCTCGCAGAACAAAGGCGGCTAAGGAGCACATCGCGGTGTGCCAAGGTCCCAAGGCCACTCTGCGTGCCAATAGCGTTCTGCGGCACCAGCAGAAGCTCTGCTTGGCCAAAAATCCTAGGATGCATGCTGAGGCCGGGATGTCTGGCAAAGCTGCTGTGTTGGCGACCGTAAGGCAGGGGCACCGCCATGCCTTCGCGCCTGTTTTCCTTCCCCTGCAGGAGAGTCGCTGCCAGCGCGAGCAGGCCGAGGCAGGCCAACTGGATGTGCAAGAGCTGTCTCCGACACTGGACAGGGCTCAAAAGCAGGCGCACGACCGAAGGTGCTGCGAGAGACGGCCAAGCTCTGGGCTTTCTGGCGCTGCGTTTGCCCCAAGGCGGCTGAGTCCTTTGCTAAGGCGGGCAGCTTGAGTAGGCAAGAAGCCTCGCGGCTTGATAAGGAAGCCAAAAAGACACGACCTCATGGCTCCAAGCTTCCCCCGCTCACGAAGAGCATGTGGGTGCACGACCTCACCATGGACGAAGATGTGGAGGAGAACCCGGGACCGAGCTGTTTAGGTGTCAGCAAGCCTCTCCAGCCCTTTTTCCTGAACAGTGGCGGCCTGGAGAACTGCTACAGTCCCTTTTTATCGATGATCGAGCTGCGGTTAGCAAAGGCCCTGTCTCGGTCTCGGCTCTTCGATTTCTTGATCGATGGAAGGCTTTCTGCCACAAGCTTGGGCTAAAAGAAAACCGAAGCTCAGGATCCACTGCCGAAGCCTTGCCGATGATACCTTTCTCAAGCGCCGAGGTGTGGATGGCCGCGTGCTGCCAAAAGGGGCCGTGGTTCTGGGTGCAGGCTTCGGGCCTGCGGATGCCAGAACAAGCGCCGCGAGGGGGCGTTCACCTTGTTGGCGCAAGCGTGCAACGGGTT